AACTCTGCCCAGATGATTCGTCCAGAACAGCAGGTTGGTTTTAGGAATTGAGAACTGAGCTTTGCTAAAGAGAAACAGTAAAAATATGTCCCCATTCTCTTCTCCTCTTATCCATTTCTCCTTTTTTAGGATTTTTGCAAACTTTGCTCACTCCTGTTTTTTTGATTCTCTTTCTTTATATTTAAACATCCCGTCTTCCTGAATATGCTAAATACCAGCAATGCAGAAAGTACACAGCTTTGCATTTTCTCTACATTTAGTAATGTGGGCCTGTGATAGACTGCACTGCACCCTCTCTTCCTTTATTGAGCTGCTCAGAGGGCAGACAGTGTGGAATAAGTATTGCTAATTTTTCTTTTTTATTATTTTGTTTCTCTTCATTAGTTGTCTCTTATCATCCATCATGTAATCAAGGATGGTTTATTTTCTTTATTAGATCATTCTTCAAGTGCTATTTTATTTTTCCTGTCTTCTTCCACCATATCAACAATACCCTCAGTACTCCAGATATCTAAAGGAATACCTCCTCACATTTCATTGTTTCTTTATATATTCACTTTATCTATCACCTGTATTAGATTTTTTGGTATCAACAAAAAAAGATAATTAGAAAGTTTTTACTACTATGCACATTTAGTAATGTTCCTGCCTTATTCCAAATCAAATAAGTGTAGTGGGGACAAGTGCAAATTTCCCATTTTCAAAGCTTTAGACATCTTTAATTTTTATAGCAGTTCTCTTCAAATGTAATTTAAGCAATCTAAAAGTACAGAGAAAAAGTAATTATTTATACAGTAAGTATTACTTAGGAAAAAAACCTGTAGAAATGACAGATCTTAGACATTTTTTGTAGTTACACAAGCTGCAGCTGGCATTTTCAGTTTCAGCTTTATAGACCATCCAGTTGAAAGTCCGTCAAAGGTTGCTCTCAGTCTGCCGGTGGGAGTGTGTGTGAGGCAGGCGGTCTCGTTGGTGGTCAAGCCGATATGTCTAACAGTAAAAATAATATGTTTTATAGCTCTTACTTTTTATGCACATGTGCAAACAAGAACATAAATGTTTACTTTCCACAGCATAACAGCCTGTTATGTTGAGATGCTCTGGATAGAATTTTGCAGTTTAGAACTTAATTTAGTACTTTGCAGAAACTTTGTACGAGGATTCTCCCACCCGCTGCTTGCATCTCATAATTTAAAAGGTCTACAGTGGGAACATAAAGTATTCAGAAACCTTGACATTTTGCAGTCTTTGTTTGATTGCAGCCATTTGCTAAAATGTAAAAAGATCAGATTTCTTTTCAATGTACACTCATATTTAGACACTTAGCTCTGTATGAATAATAGCAACGTTTGGATTAGTACAGCCATGATCTTCTTGGGAAAGATGCAACAAGCTGCATTTGCATCTGCATTTCTATATATTTTCAAATCTTTCTAAAAACGCTCATTTGGGGTTAATTAAGGGCTGTGGCTGGGCTAGTAAAGAATGGTCAGTTGTCCCAAAGCCACTCCTTTGTTATTTTAGCTGTGTGCTTAGGGCCGCGGTTCTCAAAGTGTGTGGCGCGACCCACTGGTGGGGAATTGAGACGTGACAGGTGGGGCGCGCCAAGTTCCGGTGTGTGTGTGTGTGTGACTATAAATGTAGAACGTGTGAGAGCAAACTGTCCTTATAGCTGTATGTTGCCGCTTTTTAGACCAATCAAACCCACAAAGTAATCATTACTAGCCTACATGCAGTCTAATTAAAAGAACATTAGATATGAGAAACATTTCACCTGGAACTGAAGTGCCAAAATAATGATTGACGTGACGTCGGCATATTATTTGTAACGGAATAAACTTTCGCGCCCCAGTGTTGCCAACTCAGCGACTTTGTCGCTATATTTCAGACCCCTTCAGCGACTCTTTTTCAAAAAAGCGACTAGCGACAAATCTAGCGACTTTTGGAGACTCTTACGTGAAAGCACGTATCGTTCCTTTTCTTGTCCTCCAGCGGCAGGTGCTGCCGTGGGGCGCCTCCTCTGTCCCCACCCCGTTCTCCCCCGCTATCGCAGGAGTCCCTCTCAGCGCTGCAGTCAGAGCAGAGACACAGCATGTTTAACTTTAGCGTCCAGACTGCAAATAAAGCGCACATGCGCCGGGATTGACGGCGCAGGTTGATCATAAATAACTGAATTTGAAATATTTTATTAGTTTATTATGCAATGAAAAATAAAGTAAGTCTATTTTTTCCTATTCTGTCTGCAGCACCTGCTGATTTTAGGTCTGCTGAGGAGGACCAGTTTATTGAAATGACGTCTGACTCCACCCTGAAGCTCAGGTTTAATGCTCAGACTCTTAGTGAATTCTGGTTTGGAGTGGAGAGGGAGTATCCACTCATCGGGCAGAGAGCTGTGTGCATTCTTCTTCCCTTTGCCACATCATATCTCTGTGAGATGGGCTTTTCAGCTGTTGCTTCAATGAAAACAAAATACAGATCTCAGCTGAACATTGAGCATGACTTGAGAGTGGCAGTATCAAGCCTGCAACCCCGTTTTGAGAAACTGTGCAATGCGAAACAGGCTCATTGCAGCCACTAATGCAGGGATAAATAGAACTGTCTTGCCAGATGGATTTCACTTCTTTTCTTTTATTAACAGATTGCAGAGTGGCACTTTAATTTTTTCTATCTTTGAGCTTGATACAAATTTTGACACAGCTGCATTTTTATTTTCTTTATTTTTTAGCTTGCTGTTATTTGATGTAGATAGTTTGTATTTAGATACTACTTGTTACTTCAGTAAAATTGGAACATTTTAAGATTGTTGCATATTTCATTAGCATTGTGTTGGGGCGATGGGGACAGGCGGGGCTTGAAAATTCCCCCTTGTCCAAAGTGGGGAATGACAGAAAAAGTTTGAGAACCACTGGCTTAGGGTCATGGTGTTGTTGGAAGGTGAACCTTCGGCCCAGTCAGAGGTCCTGAACGTTTTGGAGGAGGTTTCTTTTAGGATCTCTCTGTACTTGGCTGCATTTATCTTTCCTTCATTTGCAACCAGTAGTCCTGTTCCTGCAGCTTAAAAGGTGATGAGCAGGGCCTGGTTTTATAAATGCTACTTAGAGTTAACATCAGAAAGTTAAGTCTTTGTCTCATCAGAGGATCTTATTTGTCTGGCAGACATGTTTCTCCTTATGGGCTTTTATTTTTCTTGCACTGAGAAGAGGCTTTATTCTGGCCATAAACCCCTGACTTGTAGAGGGCTGCACTGATACTCCACTTTTTCCCTACTGTAGCTCAGTCAGAGTGATCGTTGGTTTCCTCTTTACCAACAAGGCTCTTCTCCCTCTATTGCTCAGTTTTGCTGGAAGACCTGGTCTAGGATGAGTTCAACCATTTAAGCATTATGAAGGTTTCTCTGCTCTTAGGAACCAGAAATAGCTTTGTAACCTTTGCTAGATCTGTACCCAGTCACAATCCTGTCTCTGAGCTCCTTGGTTTGTTGGGACCTCATCTTTTTTTCCAACATGCACTACGAGCTGTAAGGTGTTGCTTACACAGGTATGTGCCTTTCCTGTAGTTTAATCAGTTTAATGAGCTCCACTACTTCCTGAGCTTCAGCCAGCTCCTTTGTTTTCTGTTTCATCACTGAACAGACAGATTTATCCAGGTGTGTCTGACCTCAGTAACCATGACAACATTGGCCAGACACCCCTGGATGGATCAACCTTTCCCGTAATGAAACACAAGAAACAAAGGAGCTGGCTGAAGTTCAGGAAGTAGAGGAGTTGGGCATGTAGCCCATTAGACGCAGCTGGACTCCAGCAAAGAACAAGAACCATCTGAGGGAGGATCAGAGGAAATGGACAGCCTGTGAGATAAATATGAGCATCAGAGTAAACGGTCTGAATACTTTTAACCATGTAATATAAAGTTTTTCTTTTTTTAATAAATTTGCAGAATTTTTTTACATATTTTCTTTCAAATTGGGGTGCATTATAAAATGAGAAATAAAAAAGAATTTTATTTTAGCCAATGGCTGCAGTGAAACAAACTATTTTAAGGGTTTTGAATACTTTCTCTTCCCACTGTAAAATCAAGAAAACAAATGATGGCATCCATTAACAGATCCATTGTTGCCATTTCCATCTGTTCACAATGGCTTCTGTTAAAGTAACTTTAAGAAAGACCAGAGGAAATAAACAGCCGAGCTCATTCATCCCCCTGTAGAGACTCTTAGGTGGGTTGCAAGGTTTCTCCTCGACAAAGAAAGAATGAATAATTCATTCTTCTCTTTTGCTCCCCGTCTTTGAATATCCCTCCAGTTCCCTAAAGGCGTGCTATTCACCTCCAGAGAAAGGATCTTGATAAGACACAAAGCATCTGCTCACATATCAAATGCGGCTTCCTAGAGCTGAAGAGAGTTTGAAAAAGTTCCCCACAGAGAGCCTTTTATTTTTTTTAAACCAATGAAATGATAAAACCAGGATCACGTTGGAGGGAATAATTAACGTTTTTATCTGATCACCATCATTTAGATCTGCTTTAAATATCTTATTTGTCTTTTCTAACACTTGTATGGACCTTAATATTATGGAAAGATAAAAATAAATAAATAAAAACCTCCCTCTCTGTGGCATGTGTTGTGTTTTCTGAGTGTCGCCTGAAATTTTCCACTCTAAAAGCCTCCTTTTCCACCTATTTTCACTTTGTTGTGTCCTGCAAATCAGGCCAGCTATTCAAGCTGTGTAAACCTCAATGATTATTACCAGGAACGCTGAAATATGAGCGCATCAGGGGAGGGGATAAACATAACGGGAGAATGAGGGACCATGCTGCCAATATTTTGTGGATACTTTGGAGAAAAATAAAACATGGTTTGGGTAGACGGCGTGCTGTGTTTTTCTAAGGAAGTAAGCTGAATAATTCATGCTATTCTCCCTGTTCTCTCGTGTCTGTCTCTAGCTAATGCTTCTCTGCTCCCTTCTCTCTTTATTTATTTCTTTAAACTGGTTTCTCTGCAGATCACACCTCGCTCGGAGGACTGGGGGACAGTTTCTATGAGTACCTGCTGAAAGCTTGGCTCATGTCTGACAAAACCGACACAGAAGCACGCAAGACCTACGATGATGCCATAGAGGTACATAGCGGGGATATTGGGTGGCGTTACGATCGGTCGACAATGATGCACACTAACCCTCTGCTCCTAGGCCATCGAGCGCCACCTCATCCGCAAATCCAACGGCGGTCTGACGTTCATAGGCGAGTGGAAGAACGGCCACCTGGAGAGGAAGATGGGCCACCTGGCCTGCTTCGCCGGCGGCATGTTCGCCCTGGGTGCCGACGGCTCGCCGGACGACAAGGCAGGTCACTACCTGCAGCTTGGCGCTGAGATCGCCCACACCTGCCACGAGTCCTACGACAGGACAGGTGAGGCATGGCGACACATCTGGGAATCAGCAGAACGAGATGAAGCTGTTGCTACGTTTACACGCTGTTCCAGTTATTGTGACACATAGATGACCTCATTAGTGAATAGATTTTCCAATCAAAATCTTTACTAAGAGACAAAACTCATCTGTGGATGGTTTTCTCTTTAATCCCAGAGAATCTCAGTGCAGTAAAGGTTTGGATGCTCAGACATTTCCCTCCCATTAATCATGCCTTTATCATCCTGTCTGTAGGAAAGCTGGACCTTATTAATGAGGAACGTTTCTCATTCAGAATATTTAAGTGTGAGCTGATCTGGGCAGAACCACCGAACGTTGATCAAAACGTTCCCAAGCACACATCTAGGGGGGAGAGAACAGGAAATCAATAGGGAATGCTGTCTATATTCACCCTTTATGACTTTTCCATATTATGCTTTTCACTTATAGACCCTTATTCTGAGATTTTGTGAAACCCAGCTGGTGATTTGCTACCTCAGCTGAACAGTCCTGCTATTTTATTTTCTCTAAGCTGAAGTTTTCGCAGTTTTCCCTGCTTTAACGACAGTCTTGCTCAGCACTGTGATGCTGCATCATGATCTGTAAGTGGGTAATTGTGAGGTTGCTCTGAGACAAGGGAAGAGGTTGCCGTGGCAACAAATGAAGACGTAGAGGGGGGCTGCAGAGGGAGTTTCTCCTGCAGCGGTCAGCCTCACGAGCTGATCGCCGTGTGGGACGCCTCGGTGACGATGTCACCGCTTTCCCCTCTCAGACCCTCAATACTCAGCACAGCTAATTGGCTGAAAGCACTGTTTGTAAAAAGGCAGTAAGATCAATATGACTGGATGCATTTTATTATGTACAAATACTCGGTAATACACACACACATCGGTGGAGCCTCATTATCGACACCAACCAAAGAAATAAGACTAACAAGAAGCAAAAGATAATGTTTTTTTTTAATTAATTTGTTCCTTCTCTCCTTCCCTCTCCTCTATTTACTCTCCTCGCCCACCTGTTTCATTTATTTCATCTCTGATTTCTTTGTTTTTCTCCCTCCTTTCCATCCATTTCTCCCCAAGTCCTGAAGCTCGGCCCAGAGGCGTTCAAGTTCGACAGCGGCCTGGAGGCGGTGGCCGTTCGGCAGAATGAGAAGTACTACATCCTACGGCCGGAGGTCATCGAGACCTACTGGTACATGTGGAGGTTCACCCACGACCCCAAATACCGGCAGTGGGGCTGGGAGGCAGCACAGGTAAAGCAGCGTCACAGATCCAGTCTTTGTAAAACGCGTCTATTGGTGTCTTCATGAAGCTTCAAGCTGCACCTCGTTGTTGTGCCTTTATATCATGGTGCTTATCACATCAGAGCATTACAGGGCTGCTCATTTGGTAGTGGGTAGCACTGCTGCCTTGCAGTGGGGTTCGATTCCCACAGGTTTGATTTCGGATTCGATTCCGGGTTTGATTCTCGGCCCGGGAATGTTCTCCCTGAGCAAGCGTCCCTTTCTCCCACAGGCCAAAAACATGACTGTTAGGTTAATTAGCTTCTCTAAATTCTCCTTAGGTGTGTGTGTGAATGGTTTTTTGTCCTGTTGGTCTCTGTGTTGTCCTGCGATGGACTGGTGACCTGTGCCCCGCGTCCCGCCAGTAGACAGCTGCAGATATGCCCCCCTCGCGGGACGGAAAATGGATGGATGGATGGATGGATATCACATCACAAGAACTTTAAATAAATGCATAAAACATGAGATTGAAGACGACCAAAATAAAGCCTTGTGCAGCATGACCCATGTACGGAGGCCTTAGTCCTCGACGCGGCCGAGCCGGGTTCGAATCCGACCTGTGGTCCTTTGCCACATGTCTCTCCCCCTCTCTCATAACCCTTTGCTGTCAGCCTACTGTCAGAAAACAAGCCACTAGTGCCATAAAAACTCAACAACAAAAATGTAAAGCCTGGCACAAAATGGTAGAACCAGCATTCAACTGCGATAAATAAAGAAAAACAAATTTGGCTGCTTGTCAGGAGGAGATTTTTCATAGCATAACATTAGGGTTTAACAAGGAGTGGTTTAAGGGTTTAAACACAAAAACTTTTTTCATTTTAGGTCAAATCTTAACTTGGATTAACAAAGCATAAAAATGAATATTTTATTCATTCACAGAACTTGTTAAAAATTCTTCTTGTAAATTCTTGAGTAACAAAGCTGACAGGTTTTATTCCCCATCATGCTGCAGCATGTGATGTTTTAATGAACGAGTGGATGGGCGAATATAAATTACCAATTTAAAACACATTATAAATGACAGTGTTGAATTCTGTTACAAAGTAACATAAAATCAATTATTTGGGAATAATGATGTTTTAAAAAAGTTAATTTTCTTCAGGAAATTCACTGCGGTTGACTTTGCCTTGAAGTGGAAGGAAATGATGGTTTACTAAATATTTTACAAATAGAAAAAAAGTCTAAACTAGTGATGCACGAAATATCTGCATCGATATCTGGAGCAGATAGCAGAGCCGGGGGGGCGTCGGTCATTCTATATGATTGTTACAGGGATTGTAATGCAGCTCAGTATTTAGGCTATTGAAGCACTATTTTCAGTCTTTTATGTTGTCTAAAGGGTGGAGAAATATATGATAAATATATTTTTATCTATAAATGAATCTCTGTATATCTATAAATATATTTTCAGCCATAACGGCAATTTTAATATCTCTGATACTGAGATTTTCACATTGGCCCCTTTAGTCTGACCACCCAATGATCACATTAAGGTTGATCTGAGACCGTTTTCAGCGTTAGGTTTATACAGCACTATCAAAAATAAAAACTGCTCAAAGATGACTATACTTTTCTGCCCCTGAGCCTCTATTTAGAGTGAATATTTAGAAAACTTCAGCTGCAGAGAAAAGAGAGGGATTGGGAATATCAGGCAGTAGATAAACACTGCCATGAGGAGGATTGTTATGTTGTTTTGCAAATTTCTGCCTCTCTTTTTATTAAAACTAAAATAAAAAGTATTACAGACTAAAGCTGAATTCCATAACATTTAATCGGCATCAGATGATCTAAAAACCAAAATTCTCCAGGAAAGTCAAAACAAGCTCCCTAAACTAGAGATACAGCGATCCAATATTAATGTATTAAAGAAAATTCTAGATCTAGATCATCAATGAAAATAGACCCAATTTATAGGGGCTGATCCTTTTATTCTATCTCTGTAATTAATCTGAGTTTGGTTGAAAGCCTTTGATTTTGATTCTTCTTATCCTGAACTTATCCTGTTAAGGTGATTTAGTTACTATTCCTTCTTTTTCTGACCTGATACTAATCTCAAGTTTGAGATAAACATGTTCATCCATGCATGTTCATTTGAAGCCCTGCTGGAGGCTTTCTGGGAGCTCTGGTGCCAGTCACTCTTATATTCTCAGGTCTTGTAATTAAATAAAACCAATTTGGGATCAGATTTGTCCGGCACTGTTCAAATTAATTGCAAATTAAATGCATGGAAGTGGGGATTTGTTATCTTAATGAGACTCTGGTCCAGATAAGATATTGGCACTGTGTATTTATTTAAGTTGGAAAAGCTATAATAAAAATAACCAGAAGTCTTATAAAAGTGAGTAAATATGTTTGTGCAAAAGGAAGGAGACACTAAATATACACACTGTGGAAAAAGATGGCTGTCTACGTGTGATTAAGAAAAGGTTTTCCTGTCTTCAGCGGATGCAGGATGCTACCAGTGACACACCAGCTGTTTATGCCATATACTGGGTAGATAACCGCTGCTTTATACAACCTGATTTTGACAGGATTTGTACAAATGATCCTTTTCCTATTTTCCTCTAAACTACAGGTGCTGGTCATAAAATTAGAATATCATGAAAAAGTAGATTGATTTCAGTAATTCCATTTAAAAAGTGAAACTTGTATATTATATTCATACATTACATACAAACTCATATATTTCAGATGTTTATTTTGTTTAATTTTGATGATTACAAATGACAACAAATGAAAATCTCAAATTCATCATATCAGAAAATTAGAATATTGTGAAAAGGTTCAAAATTGATGGCCCCTGGTGCCACACTCTAATCAGCTAATTAACTCAAACCACCTGCAAAAGCCTTTAAATGGTCTTTCAGTCTAGTTCTATAGGCTACACAATCATGGGGAAGACTGCTGACTTGACAGTTGTCCAAAAGACGACCATCGACACCTTGCACAAGGAGGGCAAGACACAAAAGGTCATCGCTAAAGAGGCTGGCTGTTCACAGAGCTCAGTGTCCAAGCACATTAATAGAGAGGCGAAGGGAAGGAAAAGATGTGGTCGAAAAAAGTGTACAAGCAAGAGAGATAACCGCACCCTGGAGAGGATTGTGAAACAAAACCCATTCAAAAATGTGGGGGAGATTCACAAAGAGTGGACTGCAGCTGGAGTGAGTGCTTCAAGAACCACCACACACAGACGTATGAAAGACATGGGTTTCTGCTGTCGCATTCCTTGTGTCAAGCCACTCTTGAACCACAGACAGCGTCAGAAGCGTCTTGCCTGGGCTAAAGAGAAACAGGACTGGACTGCTGGTGAGTGGTCCAAAGTCATGTTCTCTGATGAAAGTAAATTTTGCATTTCCTTTGGAAATCAAGGTCCCAGAGTCTGGAGGAAAAGAAGAGAGGCACTTCATCCACGTTGCTTGAAGTCCAGTGTAAAGTTTCCACAGTCAGTGATGGTTTGGGGTGCCATGTCATCTGCTGGTGTTGGTCCATTGTGTTTTCTGAGGTCCAGGGTCAACGCAGCCACATACCAGGAAGTTTTAGAGCACTTCATGCTTCCTGCAGCTGACCAACTTTTTGGAGATGCAGATTTCATTTTCCAACAGGACTTGGCACCTGCACACAGTGCCAAAGCTACCAGTACCTGGTTGAAGGACCATGGTATCCCTGTTCTTAATTGGCCAGCAAACTCTCCTGACCTTAACCCCATAGAAAATCTATGGGGTATTGTGAAGAAGAAGATGCAATACACCAGACCCAACAATTCAGAAGAGCTAAAAGCCACTATTAGAGCAACCTGGGCTATCATAACACCTGAGCAGTGCCACAGACTGATCGACTCCATGCCACGCCGCATTGCTGCAGTAATACAGGCCAAAGGAGGCCCAACTAAATACTGAGTGCTGTACATGCTCATACTTTTCATGTTCATACTTTTCAGTTGGCCAACATTTCTATAAATCCTTTGTTTTTATTGGTCTTCAGTAATATTCTAATTTTCTGATATGATGAATTTGAGATTTTCATTTGTTGTCATTTGTAATCATCAAAATTAAACAAAATAAACATCTGAAATATATGAGTTTGTATGTAATGTATGAATATAATATACAAGTTTCACTTTTTAAATGGAATTACTGAAATCAATCTACTTTTTCATGATATTCTAATTTTATGACCAGCACCTGTAAGTCCGCTCTTCCTGCTCTCTGCTAAAAAAAGAGACGTCACCAGAACACAATGCTGCCACGGCCAGAGTTCAGAAAGGGAATGATGTGTTCAGAAAAGCTTTGATCATCGTCTACTTTAAAAGATTACGGTAAAAAGCTGACCCTTCATATAATCCAGTAGATTCTAAAATCCTAAACCTGAAGTAAAAAATTACTCATTCAGCCAAGTCAATTTAAATAGAATTCAAAATAATTATAATATATATATATTTATATATATATAAAATATTTCTTGATCAAAATACTTTGATTTATAAATATTGAATGAATCAACATAATTTTCACTGTGAAAACAGATTCATGTTCATTATGTAACCAACTCAAATCTACCAAATAACTACAAAAGCAAACGGAAATTTATTTATTTATTTAGTTTTAACTTTTATGTTCAAGTTGATTTGGATATCTGGATTTTTTTTTTTCTGGGTGAAAATACAGGGTTAGTTTTTCACTTCTTGCAGCATTTTATATGTGGAGAAAAGTGTCTACTTTATGCTGATCTGCAAAGATATTTGGTTTTTATTTTTCATCACTTTAACAAAGACAGCTTTCTTGACTTGTTGGAGATCTGCCTGTTTTTCCTGTGTAGTCCTGTTTCTCTGACTGGCTGGATGTGCTCTCTTCGTCCTCTGGCATGGGAGCTGCCTTGGAGCTCGTCTGCCTGGCTGTGTGTTTCCTGGACGGGGCCGCCTTTTACAGCTGCTTTTTGTATCTCTGCTTCTGTCTCCTTGAACCCCAGTCGGC